AACAATGAATTGAATAACACATCTCTGCTTATTTTTCATCAATCTCCCTCTTTTTCCCCCCCCCCCCCAAAAAAAAAAAAAAAAACCTTATTTATGTATAACGTATAACCCACAGGTAGATAAAACATTACATCACTTATTGCTGCAAAAAAACTGGTTAAATGGATAAATAGAATTGTAAGCAAGGAGAAAGAAAAAGAAAAAAGATAAGGAACTTAAAGATAATCACTCAAAAAATGTTATCTTACAAAACTACCATTAATTCTACAAAAAAACTTCCATGATTAAATTCTTGGTGCTCTTTTTTCTACATGGGTCAGAGGATCATGAAATTAACAAACAGAATATGTCGACGGAGCCTCCTTAACTGTTTCAAGTAACTTGTTTCAGGTGTCCCTCCTACCAAACCCTGTGCTGAGTGACCTGGTCAAGTATGCATTGTGGCTTCTAGAATGTTCTCACGACTCTGGCAGATGTCACGCAACTCTCTTTTTCTCGCTCACGTGTTCATTTCGAGCAGTGCTGGAATTGTTCGACAGTAATGATGGTCTGCGGAAGCTTGTGAACCAGGTAATTTGTCAGTTTTATTTATAAATTACACGACATGGTTTGGACCCTAGAGAAACGTGGATCGTGTAGTTCAATCGCCTGGAGTAGGATCACACCACGAGGTCTATTTGTTCTGTGACCTTTCCGTTCTCGTAGGAGTAGCAATCTCTCTTAATAACACTCATTCGAAATATTTTGCAATGCGTAAAGAAATAAAAGAACGACTAACGTAAATAGTGATAACTTGATTAATAAAATAGTGGATAACGTTGAAGGCCCATTCTGATTGGCTACTCATACTCCGAATATTCGTTGCTGTTCACCTCCGAGCAACTCGCGCGTGATTTGCGCGCGGAAATATTGCAATCATCGCGGGAATAAATGAGTTAAAATCGTCCCTTTTTGCTATGTTATCTTACTGTTTAAATATATACCAAAACAACTATTCACCTCAGTGCCGATGGCTGGCGGTGGATAATCACCTCGCAACTTCGAGACTCAGTGAATATCCACCAATAGCCAGCCACCTCCACTTCAATAAATCACGGTTTGTTACTTTTGAAACGTAGTTTAGAGAAATGCCGACCGCTATGAATTAACAAGTATTAAGTACACGCCGTGTTTGCATTTTCCAGACTGCGCAGACTCCTTTAAATTTTTTCAAACTATTTTACGGTCCTGTTCCACTTGCGTTTGCATCTTGAAAACAACGAATATTACTGGATGCAAACCATTCTAAAAGAATCTCTTTTTGTTTAACCTTGTTGTGGCAGCTAAGTACGCTTTCAATCCTTCGTCCCGATGAGGCAGAACTACTGAGTGATGATGAGGTGTTTGGCAGCCGGCAGACAGCAAAACACACTTGCATGGCTCTACGGAGATATTTTGATGCCCATCTTCACATCAGGGCAGATGCGCTGAGGAGATCTATTGCAAGGAACGAGGGTGGAACACCACCAGTTCCAGTTCCAGCGTATAAGGTGAATTTCCAAGGCTACTCCCTAATTCTAGGAGAAAATTTGTATATCTTTAGATGGGCAAATTCAGTATGTTATGTTATGTAAAAGGACTACGCCTGCTCGGCTGTTTTAGTTTAGAGAGGTTGGAAGTTAACTTAAACCTGGTAAAGGTTTTTGGCAGTATTCTGCTTAACATTTAATCTCGTCCTTGTAAATTTTCTACTTTTAGCACGAAAGTTTATAAACCTCGCCTAACGAACACTCCAAATCGTCTCAAATATTTACGCAGAAGATACTGTTTTTGTCTGTTTGTCTGTCTGCTTGGTTTTGTTTGTTTGTTTGTTCCGAAGTTTTGTCTTTGGTAGCTTAGCATCATTTTGTTCAACTCATATTGACGAGCAACTGTTCTCTTTCAGGCTGCATCCCTGTCTCACAGCAGTGTAATGGAGAACTGTCAGTTGATGTTAGAGTATGCTCCAACAACACTGCGTTGGGAGCCTGTTGAGGTAATAACTGAGAAAAAACGCAAAAGAAAAAACAGCGTCACATGGTCGTGGTTGATTATTTCGCAGAGGCGTATCTTGGTTTATTAAGTGTAGGGCACATTGTAGTACTGAAACTCCTCTGTAGAATGTTATAGTATCTTTCACAGGGACACGATACAATGTTCCTTGCCAAGGCTCCGGCTTCAAACTCGTAGGTTATGAAACCCCTCGATGGACACCATAACACCTACTTCCATTACTTTGTTGTTGTCAGTTGTTATTCTCTTTGGTTTTAGTATTATTATTATTATTATTATTATTATTATTATTACTATTACTATTATTATTATTATTATTATTATTATTATTATTATTTTATTTATAAGTTTCCTAGTTTACATATGCATTTCAGTCCAGTGGATACAGTTCGCTCTCAAGAATAGATTGGAGAAGTAATTTCATTCATTTGAGTGTTTGTTCGTTTCTTGTTTTGTTTTGTTTTTGTTTTTGTTTTTTATTTTATTCACCAATGCTCATAAGCATAGACACACCTTGTCAATTTACCCAAAACTAGTGTAAAGTGTCTTCCGCCTGAGGTCTTTACAGTGTCAGAATGCACACGTTTTCTCGTGTTTATTAGGGATTTGTGGCAAACCACTACGGCCTGAAACGAGGACGTGGCCAAACAAAAGATCTTATTGCTCAGCACGTGCGTTTTACAACTTTGTACATTTCCGTAGATGCTCTCTGCAAAACAACAACGTGAAATCACCCAAATTTGCGTGGTCTGAGAACGGAAACACCGATGGCAAATTAGTAAAACTTACATTTGGAACTCAACCCTGCTTACATATGTTATGCTGAAGTTGTGGCCCCGTAAGAGACGATAAACACATCCAGCCACTCGCGAAATTCTAACCAAAAGTAAAAATTCATCATTGTAGTCGACGTCTTCCTCGATTTTGCCTTCCTGACTGCTCAAGCTCGCTATTATTTAACATGTCTTCTTTTTATCCCAAAGATGATGAACAGACTTCAAGGCTTCACCCTGCTGCTTCAGTTGATCTCCCTGTCGTCAGACTGGGGAGTGACCAGTAATAGGTAAGTCATTGGTTTTGCTACCATTTCTCCAGAGTTTGTACGAGTCCAGGAAAATCAAGAAAGGTCTGCTTGTAGGACTGTGCTACTGGACTTTGAAATTGTCGGAAATTGTTTCAACTCAAGGAATCGAAGTTGTTGATAATTCAAAAATCAAAATTGTAGCAGAACATTAGTTGTAATGATTTTCTACTGCCTTCAAAAAGGTACAAGAAGCTTTTAGTATTGTCGACTTATGATATTACAATTTTTCTCCCTGCATTTTAAATGCCATTCTTGAGGCCTGTCCACTGCTCTATGTTAATATCATCGATGGGTAATTGTTCCATATTTAATGGAAATTAATAGTTATTACTGGCATATTTTGCTCTATTTATGAACTCTGAATATCTCGACTAACATTTTTTACATTAAAAGCGTATAAACAGCTTGTTAATCCTCTCCATTCCTGTTTCTTTGCTCCATTCAAGAGCGGACGCCATCCGATTAGCAGCCGACGTGACCCGCCTTGCTTTAGAGATGCTGTTTGTGTTGACAGTCGGTCCTAAGGCTCAGATGGCGCTGTGTGAAGAAGTGCAACTTCCGTCAGGAGAACAACAGAAAGGAATGAGGTATGATCTACGGGAAAATAATTAATTTAGACATGATCATCATCAAAAGTCCTTCGTGATTATCAGAAGTAGTAGAAGTGTTCTTAGTCACCTTATTTTAATAACCCGTGGAAACATTCGGTAGCAAGAGGCCAGAAGGCTTATATACTCTCTATTCAGTCATATTAAGAAATCTTTTTTTCCAGGCTTCTGCTGCGTTGCGCTGAAGGGAGTTTCCTCAATGACTCTGAGGTACAGAAAGCCGCTCTCCACGTCATTTGTAACTGTGTGTGCGGTCCTCGAGTCAGGGTAAGTGGTTTGTGCGCGTTTAGATTTAGTTCCCTCCCTCTCGCATGAGTTTCTCAAAGTATTTTCGCGACAGAAAAAAAACAACAACAAAAAGGAACAAGCAAAAACAAATAAGAAACAGAGTTACAGGCGTAGTTTGTTGGTAGAGCAGGCGAAAATTCTTCATTTTGTAACTGACTTGGTAATGACAAAGTCGCTTAAAGTTGAGTCAATGTCGGAGTCAACACGATAAGCTTTGCTTACCTCTACACGGTTCCTCAACCCCCTCCCTCCCCTCCCTCAACGCTGCTCCCCTCCCAGTCTTAGGCTGATTAAAGTTCATGAAAGAATTGCTACTCAAACGTTAGGAATATTTTTTGAATTTAAAAGTGCTTAGTGTTTAAGATGTTAAGTAACCAGGCCGAGTGCGTTGTTCCTTTTTTCCATTTTTCCATTTTTCCGTTTAACTACGGTACAGGCCCGATTTTTTTCAGTGTTTTTTTCAACTGCTTAAGTAGTGTTTGGCGTCACCGCGATGATTACTTTTGTCTTCATTGTTTGTAGATTAGCGGAGCTGTTGCAAAATTTCAGTCGAAATCCAAGCCGGCTTTCAAAAGCAGCGACGACATCTTATCCAAGATGTGGGGATGTGTCAGGGCCAGTAATGGCATCAAGGTTCTGCTCTCCTTACTGATGGTGAAAACGCCATTGGTTGATGCAGATTGTATTCGTGCTCTGGCTTGTAAAGCGTTATGTGGTTTATCGAGGAGCGACAAGATTAGACAAGTCATTGGAAAACTACAGCTGTTTAACAGCGGCCAGTTACAAAGTGAGTATTGCACTGCGCGGTGCTTTCTTCACACTTATCCAACCATGTATATTATACAGCTGGGCGTGCCCGTGGGCAAGATGAAATGAGTCCTGTGTTCTGATAGGATACCTGAGCTCTAATCCGCTTGGGATATCTCCCTTTTATCTCGCGCAAGATAAAAGGTTGCGTTTCGAAGACTTACAAAGTTTGTAATGTTTAGCCAACGTCGGCAAAGAAGTCGTAAAAAGCGATAGAGGACGGTCAAAACACTTTTTCAAATGTAAACGAGCACTCACCATCACAGATGGCCTTCTTTTCCAGCGCTTAAAAGAAAAAAAGTCATTCTTGATTCTTATATAAGCAGAATAATTTTGCTATGTAGTAAGTCCTTTATTGAACAACTTAATCAGTCAAGAGCTTTTGTCTAATTCAAGACTCTTCGTCTTAGTCCACAAAAGCGCCAAAAAGAGCTCGCCAAATATCCAGCTATCTCAGTTGACCTATTTACAACCATGTTGACCTTCTAAAACATCATTTCATTTCTTTCATTTACGTTGACTCAATGTCGTTTGTCTTGAATTTGTGAACAGTTTTGATGCGCGAGCCGATCATTGAGGATAATGCTTCTGACCACGCCCTTTTCTGCAAATATGCTGCCGAACTACTTGAAAGAGTCACTGGTAAATCCCTGGCTACGTCCTCTGCAGTACCGTCCCTGTCTAGAATAAACAAGGTATGAACTTGAAATTGACACAAGCTGTCGTCTCACACAGGGGAGGGTGGAGACCTTCAACAGCGTCTTTACTCGACAGTTTACTGCTCATTAACTTTTGTTTGAACGGCAAACGTACGGAAAAGTCTAATTTCGATGATTAAAGTTTTGCTTAAATAATGAACAATCGATTATTTTATTTGAAGAATTTATCAGAATCTACTTCTTTGTATTTCTTGTTTAAAAATGGATGGTCATCGAGACTGCCTTCAGGCTTTCTCTGTTTTTCAGAGGAGGGGAGGAGGGACGTCCTCAGTTTCCCTGCCATCCCCTCCTAAAAGAACACATTTGATCGTAGGTAAGATGGTCACACTATCGGTTTTCATCTAAATACTTTTAAGTTAAGAGGAAATTAAGAAATCAATGCTTTCTAGAGCATTATTAGAACAGCCCAGCAAGAAATCATATGTAAATTTAACAGTTTTAGAGTTTGAATTGTCCTTTTACTTCTCTTACCCAATAGCTTCTGTGGGGTCGGTTTTCTTACTTATTTCGACGTTCTCTTAAGTAGGACACTTTCAAACCCTGTACAGCCCAACAACTAAATATCAGCCTTTACTTTCTTAGGCTGATGTTGTTGCACAGACTCATATTTCATATCCGGCAAAAGAGCTTTTACAACTGGTTCACAGTCACCTCACAACCCAAGGTTTGTTGTGGAACGTCGAGGAGCGTTAAGAGAAAATCAGGTCAAGAGGCGGAATCACAAGCAGAAGAATTTCCCTTTAAACCTATTTTTAGGTCACACCCCGCTTCATAACACACTCTTGAAATTTAGAAACGAAAGTCCCAAGTCATCCGACAGTCCAACAATTATGCAGAGCTGGATTATTTATATAATTTAATAGGAATAATCTTTGTTGTTAAGTCTCTGCTTCTTATTTTGAGTGTCGTAAAGCAATCAAAACAATCAATCAGAACGAAGAAAAAATATCACGTTTAAAGTAAAGTATTTTAGAATTTAAAGTAAAAACAAGCAACCTTCTGAAGCGCGGGAAAACGCGGGCGACAAAATCGCAACTGGTTTTAGTTTTGAATCTGATTGGTTAAGGTGGCGTGAGTTTTCTAGATCAATAACAGCCCTTAGTAGAGCAAAAGCGAAACGTCCCAGATTACTTTGGACGCTCGAATTAAATTTGTTCTAGTCTTGAGGGTGTTTGGCTCATTTGTTAATCAAAGGTGTGGTTGTTTTGGACCAGGACTTCATGAGACTGCAGAGGTTTTACGGAGAGAAGCCAATCTACCTGACCCAAAACCTGAATCAAATCTGCTTTATACGCCTACTAATAGGAAAGTATGTGGTGCGTGTTGTCGTTATTAAGTGTATTCTGTGATCACAAGGTCCCTTGATTCATGAGGAAAATACGATCACGATCGCATTTTTTAAAGTCATGTAATAATGGCACGAGTCTGCGTGAACGGGTTATGATGAAAATGACCAAATTTGTCTTTTTTTTTTCTGAAATTCCTTTGTAAAATTCTTTTACAGGAAAAAGAATCGACAAATTAAGTCAGTCCATCTGTCCTTCAGTTCATCATTCCGTTCCTTAGTCCACCAGTCCATCAGTTAGTCAGCCGTTAGTAAGTGATTGAGCTTGTCAATCTGTCAGCCAGTCAGTCAGTCAGTCAGCCCATCCGTTTGACAGTCTGTCGGTCAATTAAGTATTATCAACTTAGTTGATAGCGTAAATTGGCCACCATAAAGGGTAAAGCTGACATTTCGAGCGTTAGCTCTTCGTCAGAGCGACTGATGTAGGGTTAACGCCCGAAACGTCAGCTTTTAATCTCTTTACGGTGGCCATTTTACGTTATCAACGCAGTTGGTAATACTGAATTACCTTGTTATACTCTCCCACCGACGCAGCACCACAGCGCTTCTTTAGAAACCTGCCCCCTTTATTAGTCTGTCAGTCAATCAGCCCGTCAGTCAGTTAGTTTGTTTGTCTTTCTGTCAGTTACTCCGTCTCTGTCAGGCAGTCAGTCAATTATTCTAACAGTCATTCCGTCTGTCCGTCAGTCAGTCAATCAGCCCGTCTGTCAGTTAGTTTGTTAGTTAGTCTGTCTGTCATTGCGTCTGTCCGTCAGTCAGGAAGTCAATTAGCACGTCACTCAGTTAATTTGTTAGTCAGTTAGTCTGTCACTGTGGCTGTCCGTCAGTCATTCAGCCTGTTCGTCCATCAGTCAGTCAGCTTGTCCGTCCATCAGCTAATCAACCAGTAAATCGTTCAGTAGGTTGGTGCTCGATCGGTTGATCAAGTGAATCAGGCGGGCAAGCAGTCAGGCTCATAATGTGGATCGTATCTCTTCGTACAAGACTAACCGTATGCTTACTGCCATGTCCCATGTCACTCTACACAGGTTCGATTCAATCACTCCTCAAGCCTTTCTACGGCCTCCTCCGGTGTGAGCACTCCCGGGACTCCATCCCTGACGCGGTACCGATTCAACGACCCTGGGACACCAACAGGAAAGGTAATAACAATGTTTAGATGATTGAGCGGTCAGGATAACTGTATCTGAATGCTGATCATAATTTTGGCGTGTGCTCATCCCACCCCCGCCATAAGAACAAAGAAATTCATGCAAAAAATATATTTTTTTTAATCTCGTGTAAATGTATTTGTCGAAAAGGATAATAATTTGTTGACTATTACGATATGATTATTTTGTCAATGTTTTGAGTAACAATTTTGTTTATGGAACGTCGATCAATTTCTTTGTCTGCATGTTTGTTTTGGTCAGCGGCTTCTACCTTCCGATCTTTCTCGCCCTGCACGCCCACCGTCACCTCCTACGTTGGATATGATCGTGACGCGGTATCTTCGCGAACAGCATGCGCAGTGTAACAATCCTGTGTCCGCTGGTCCTCCATTCTCCTTAATACGGTAAGTCATGTGTGCCAGAGCCAAAAACATCTGAAAAAGTATTTCCGCTTGTTTGGAGGATTGCCAGAAGTTTCGCTGAGTCTCTTATCCGCATTCCACTCTCGCTTAAATATAGCCTCGTAATGCCTTCTGTTAAGATTTTAAAGGTGGAAAGTTTCTAAAGAACTGTGGTGCTTTGTTGGTTGGAGAGTTTAAAAAGGTAATTTGGTACTATAAACTGAGTTGATAATGAAAATTTGCCACCGTTTATAGTTCCGAAGTTAACGTTTTGAGCGTTAGCCCTTCGTCAGAGCGATGACGAAGGGCTAACGTTGACCGAAGTGGTAATCAACTCGACTTATGATACCAAATTACCTCGTTGAGATTTTTTACGAATTTTGTACGACCCCTAAGTAATCACCACCGCCTATCTCTTTAACGGTAGCTAATTATATAAAAGGTTTGTGAAACCCTAAGCTCCTCCTGGTAGACCGGTAGGTGAGTAAGAATTATTTCTTGCCTACAAGGTTTTCTAGGTCACCAGACAAATAGACTTTCTCTTGTTTTGTTTGGTTTTTTTTCACACTCCCTTACTGTTTGTTATTTATTTGTTTCTTTTTATTTATTTATTTTTTTTTTTTACTGTTTCTCCGAGTGTTTGCCCGTTTATTTAAAACTGTTTGTAACATTTATATCTTGCAGAATTATTTTTGAAAAACTGCACATAATGCATCTCCTCTCTTTCAATTAAAAAATTCCAGAGTGTTTATAAATCTATACTTAAAATAGGGCTGTTTATCGAATCATACGCCACAATTGCAGATGTCTAAGAAAACTCAAAACTGTGAACAATCAACTTATTCCGATTTGTCTATCGTCAGACCCCATAAATGCCCTGAACCAAAGTACAGATATTACGCACCATCGAACATGACGACGAGGTTAAAGCGAAGAGAAGTATGTATATTGCTATTGTTCTTAGCTTTAAACAAAACTATTTTGCCACGGTGGCGGACAAAGGAAACACTCATCTCATCATCATAATAGGTCGTTCTGATACTCGTGTCAGCTCTTATTATAGAGTGGTCTCCCTCAACATTTATCTGTACTCAATCTTGAAAAAATGTTCTCCCACCTGAAGGTGATTCCGCGTCATGGCGGATTTAACGGCGCCAGACTAAACAGACGGTTTGTGTACGGAAGGTAGGAGATGCCTTATTTGTACTTCGTATCGCTTTATTAGAAATTCTTAATGTTTTTTTAACAGAATCATTGTAACCTGATTCTCAAACCCTGTCCACACGTAAACGGTATTTCTGAACACAGGTGACGGAGGTTTCCATAATCTCTGAATAGAGTGGACTTTTCGTGTTTTTCAAAAGCGCCGGCTTATCGTCTTCGCGTCGACCAAAAGAAGTGGAGTTTTTCACGTGCAAGGTCGTGACACTAGTTGATCTCCTTTTGAAGTCTTATTTCAGTTTTATTAGCAGATAGGTTTGGACTCAAGGAAACGATTCGAATATGCCAAGTTTGCTCAAGATAATGTTCAAGATGATGTTCCTCTACAGAATTCTGACGCATTTTACCGACGAAGTTTCACAATTAGTCTTTGATTGTGTTAAGTTTAGTTCTCGGTTGTGTCTAACTGTGTTTTTCTCCATTAGATTTAAACCGCTCAGGGCCATTCGCGATACTGAAGAAAACAGCTTCTTTACATGTGCATGTTTTGCAGTAAGTGTCTCTGTTACCACACTCAATGTGATTTTTAAGATCTATAACTGCTAAGTGGAGCAAGTGATATCGAGGACTAACCACTCCCTAGGATAGAAAAGATCCTGGTTGGCTAAATTTGGCCTTTACATGCTAACATCAGTATGCATATTCTCCTTACTGTTCTCTATGTAATCCCTAAGGTGCTGACAAAGAGAATTTGTTTAGAAATGAAGAGCTTCTTATTTGGTGATCATTTTCTTTATTCTCGTGATCCTAATGTTTGATTCAAGGAGTGATATTGTAAAGAGAAATTAGACGCTGGTCACTGTTATTCACGTGATCCTAATGTTTGATTCAAAGAGTGATATTGTAAAGAGAAATTAGACGCTGGTCACTCTTAGAAGTCAAACGGTTTGAACCTCTTCTTGGTGTCGTTTACATTAGGCTGATTCTTAGTAAAATGGAAATTATGATTTTGTGTTTCCAACTTTTTTTCTACCCGTAATAATTATCCTTACTATTGTTTAAAAAAAAAGTAATGGCTTTTATGAGGTCATGTAAACGTACCGGAAGTACCTAAGTTTTTACTTTTTCTCCTCAGCCCGATGGCAAGTCTGTTTTTCTTGGAACACAAATAGGCGAGTTGAAGGAATACAACTTAATAACTGGACAGGTACAAAACTCAATTTACACCTTTTTGATTTCAAGTCAAACGCCAAATTTTTCTTGAAATAGCTTTATGTGTTTGAATTAGTCGTTGATTGTGACAAGTTAAGTTGTCAATTGTATCATACCTATTCCTTTTTTTTTTTTTTTTTTTTTTTTGTTCTTTTTTGGATTTAAACCGTTCAGTGCATGATTATTCATGTTCATTTTTATTTTACGTATTTATTTTAAAAAAATGATCTTTTGCAGGAAGAGGCGACTTATCTCTGTAGCGCAGACAGAGCAATTTCCATGTGCCAATGTTCAAAAGTAAGAATACAACATGGATGTTTCCCTCCTCATATAGTTAAAGATACCTTTCTTTCTACTTCGAACAGGTCGAAAGTTTCATTAATGTTTTTCACGTTTTTTTGGGGGGGCGCACCCACCCCTCCCTTCCCCAACCCAACAACAGTCAAATGGTAACAAGTTATGTTCGATGTTGGATTTCGTTCCACATCCACACAAACAAGGCAGCTCCGCTATTGCTTTTAAATAACTTAACGTTCGGTCAAATCCAGTCTTCTAGTTAACTGTTTTGTTTCTATATCTTTCGCTGAAACCAATCAACCCTCTTTATTCATCAGTTTTGCAGCGCGTTTCGCAACGTTACGAACCTTTCTAAGGTTTATATGACCCTTTCAGGTTGTGTTCACGAATTCATTTATCACTGAAATTGTCTTTGTGTACTTCATTCTTCAATTTTTAGGACCGCGAACTTTTATTGACGTCATCTTCGTCTGCTTTGCCTCCCTGTGCTCTTTGGTCATTTGGAGATGTTTTCGAAATGAAGTAAGTCTTTGAACTTGAAAACCTGTTTGATTCGTACCACTAGTGCATCTGATAGGCACGTCCTTCTTTGTGTCTCTGCTTGGTTTATTTGTATCTCACCTTTAACAAACTACAATGTTTGTCGCAGAAACATAAAACAGACACATACTTTACTATGTTTTACCATTAATTTTTATTGACTTGAGGATCGCTGAAATACAAAAAAAAGTTTTACATTGTTCTTTCAGAGCTACAACTTTTACAGAAGACACTTAGACAAACTAATTTCATAAATTACAGGAGACGAGAAATGACTCCAACTTAATTCACCTGCGGCAATCAACGCTCAAGATAAAACAAGCAAAATGGGAAATAATTTAGGTGTATATCATGGCTCGTATCCTATAATCGGATTGGTGTTAATGACACGGTGACAGTAGGCGAACTGTAATGTTTCGTCGTTACATTCATCTCTCTATTTGATAAAAAAGTGCTATTTACTTTATAATTTTATTTGTTTCTCTTTGGCTCAGACATCCATTTAGCGAGGACACTTGGGTAAAGTTTAGTAATTTATCAGAAGACAGAATTATTGGCACACACGACGCTACTGCGCATGTGAGTTCAAGACATGTGATGCATTTTCAATTCCAAATACATCGCGAGTAGCCTCAGTTTGACAAATTGTCGCTGTTCATTTAGGACATTTACAAATGGAAAAATAGATCAGCGAAATTGCTAGTGCGTGAACACGGGACAGCAAGGATGATAGAATCGCTAATTTCGCCGAAGTTTGTGCGAGATCGTTTTTTGTCTCGAATACACGGACTTTCAAGAGGAATTTTTTGTCCAGACTTCATGACCGAGATCAGCTTTCTGCGCCTCAGTTTACTTGTTCTGAGACCTCTTGGCTGTGTTTGATAATTTTTTGATTTGTTATTTTGATATGCTTCACAAATAACTTTTCTTTCAAATAAGTTTTTCTTTCACGTCACTCAGTTGAAATGCGTCTTTTGAAACATTAGTCAAACTTTAAGGCGCCGAACTCGAGATTTATTTATTTTGTATTTAATTCAGGTTTTTTTTCTTTTTTTGTCGTTTATTGCTTGTGGTACTTCTGTGCCAAAACCCCCTTTTTCTTTCTCGATAACAACGACGTTAGAATGCAGTTAGAGTGTGATGATATTATTCACTAGATTATATTCAACCATCAGATTTACGACACTGCGACAGGTCAGCGGGTACTAACTCTGCACGATTCCAACAACACTAACAACTACTCAAAGAACCTCGCCTCCTTTAATCCCACGGACGACCTGGTACTGAACGACGGTGTATTATGGGATGTCAAAGGCAAACGGGTTATACACAAGTTTGACAAGTTTAACAACTTTGTCAGCGGCGTTTTTCATCCCTCCGGGCTAGAGATTATCATCAATTCAGAGATTGTATCCTTTTTTTCGTTTTTAAAGAACGAGCCAATGCTATACTGTAAAGCAGTGAGTCCAGATTCACGAAAATAAGGGAACACAACGTCGCCCTTTCACGGATCTCGAAAAATCACTCTACCTCCTTCTTCTTACTTTGACAGTGAATTGGGAGAGAGATAGATATCAAGGACTATTATTTCATAAGAAAAGTTTATTGTTTCCTCATCTTGAGCGTTTTCGTGAAGCAATACACAGTCACCTGACTGATCCACGGAGTATAAACTTATGTCTGAATATCCTTGGTGATTTGCTGGCCAATTTACATCATCAACCTAGTCGATAAAACCAAACTATCTTATTTCCCCGCCCTCACAACTGACGAAGCACTGCTGTTTCTTGTGACACTAACCCCTTAGAATGTCCAAAGCAACTCATTTCAAATAAACAGTGTGCCTTTTGCTTTGCCAATAATCCTTGACGCTAAAAACAGTGGGATCTTCGCTCTTTCCATTTACTGGACACGTGTCCTTCACTAGATCAATGTCACGTGATCTTCAATAACAGTGGTGACGTCATGTATGGAGGTAATTTCATGTCTACTTGTTTACACACTTCTCAAATTTGTGGATACTTTATTAATTTTTCACGAAGGAAACCAGACACGACATTGAGGTTTTAGTGCGTCCAAGTCGTGAGCTTTTAGTTGCGATCTATATGTTATCTCGATATTCAAATTCAAATTGAGAGCACAGAATACTCACCCCGGATTCTGGTTCCATAGGTTTTTAGCAGTTTATAGACATCCAAAATTGCGTAAAGAAATTTTTCAACTTTTCATCAATTATTTAGCAACTTTTGCGGTGTTTGGAAAAGTGAAAGAGCTCTAGCTCTTTTATTCCACTCATAACCCTAAAACTTCCGGCTCCAGTCTTTCGAAGGTTGGATAGCGCTATCCATTAGATAAAACTCTATCCGTCGGATAGCGTTATCCGCCCTTTACATAACTGGGCCCTCAGGGAAAAGTCCCTCATAGCCTCTGATATCTCAAAAAATGAAAAAAAAAAAGATGAATTCTGGACTGAAGGGAGCGGTATTTGTTCTTCATGTATTTTATAGTAAAACATCTTTCGGATCCTTTGGAAATACCGCTAGCTTCCAGGCTTCTTGGACCGTACGAGACCTCGTTCAGGACCTTTGACGCAACAGATTATCAACCAATAGGTGAGCAGGATGGCTTGCTACAAATTTAAATAGAAATTTTGTTTGGCGCTCGTTATCAGTTAATTTGAAATATCTTGACGTTTACGAAATGAGTGAGAAAATGATGTTGGAAATTTCAATTGCTTTCAAACAGCTACAATCGACGTTAAGAAGACAATATTTGATTTGTGTACCGATATAACTGACAGCTTTGTAGCCGTTATTGAGGTAAGCTTAAAAATCGGAAACCTCTGCCTTGTTTTGTTTTCCTCCCTTCCATCCTTCTTCTTTCATTCCCATCCTCTTCCTCTCCCGCTCCTGCTTAACTTCCTCTCTTCTCTTTTTTTCTCCCTCTTCTCTGACACTTCTTCAGAGGTAAGAGGATTCTTGTGATTTCTATGAAACATTAAATTCAATTTATCTTGATCGTAAGACCTGAGCCGATTGGTGCGGTTTAGCTCTACTTGTCAATCACTAGCCAAACTGCTTCATGATTATCTTGCGGGAAAAACAAAAGAGGGTGAACTCTTTCGAAGGCGTAGTTGACAATTCCGATTTCATTCACGAGGAAGCTGCCTAGAAAAACCGAATTTTTTAGAGCAGGAAGCGGCTGTAGACAGATTGAGGGAATCTCTCAAGTGTTCATCAGAACATGGAGTGTCTCGCGCATTACGAGGGTAGCAAAAAGTCTTCATTTTCACACTGGTCACTGGAAAAGATCTGCTGGCAGTGTTACCCACTGGTTTTTTTAAGAAAAGCTTTCTATTTCAGATGCTGGTTAGCTTTAAAACTAATTATAAAACAAACCTTCGAGTGCAGAAGTGTGTCTGCTTCAAAGTACCGTTTACGATCAAATGGGAGAAACATCGTCAAAGGGATTAACGGAAGCTACACTCAAAGAACATAGGATGCAGCGAATATCAGCTCATATCTGTGTCCTCGGAAAAGGTTACGTCGAAGCCATTTGTCTCTGCGCTGAAAAAAAACTGCCTCACAGTTTCACTCATCCGCTCTACGCTTTTTTTTTCTTCTTTTTTTCTTTTTCTTGTGGTTACGGTTACTTGCTCAATTCCGAAAATGCGGTGAGACACAATTAGTCATGGGGTGTTTCGCTTTTTAACAGCCTCTTCGAGCAAGCGTCTTTTCGCCTTTCACTGCCCCCTCCCTCCACTTTCCACTCAAACTCTAAGTCAAACATGGCCGGTGAAATAATCGATCGCGAACTTCTTAACGTTAACTCGCCCTAATATAACGCCTGCACTGCAAGCTCAGGAGCTAGCAGTAATCCCAGCTACCTCATGCCACGACAACTGGGAGAAACTTTGGCAATGCGAACCATCTGACTGGCTTTACTTGTCATTTCATGATTGCATAAGTTGCAAACTATCATCGTAAAGATCTTGTCATCATGTCATAACAGTTCACGTGAATTATTTCATATCATAAATTCGGTAACGTTCTTTTTTAGAATCAGGCCAGCACCGACGAAAGCGTTTGCCGGGTGTACGAAGTCGGGCGGCTGCGTAGGGCTGATGACGAGGACGAGCAGGTATGAGAATCTTAAGGACTTTCACATCAATATTCGTAGGAACGGACCCATTAAAGAGAAGTGAAACCGCCATCTTTGAGGCGGATTCGGTTATGTGATTGGTTCGTGCCTTATTTGCATAAAAAAATCCTGTACTTTGTTAGGTTGTGGACTATAGCGCCCCTTGGCACTAAAGCAGCGATGAACTTTAAATTACTTTTGGAATATACTTCAAAAACACGTCACTTAGTGCAACACGTGTTTGATGTAGGTCCATAAAATAACGACTCCATGCCTTTTTTCTCTTAGGAATCCGACGAAGGTGGCGAGGAAGATGACGATGTCGATGACGATGATGATGAAAATGATGATGATGACGATGACGATGATGATGATGACGACGAAATTGAAATCACGATATCTGGCGATGATGATTCGGATGATGACAGTGATATTGCAATTTTTTGAAGCGCGGCTTTTAAGTTTCCATCTTTCAGTTGTTAATTCAACTCAACAATGAGCACGTCATTCTGCTATGTTTTTATGTTTGAAAAATGTACTTGTATCACACAATTTGGGAATGATAGTTTAAGCTTGGAGTTGAGCTTCTTGACGGTGGAGTTTTTTTATGTAAAATGCTATGTAGCAGAAAGTAGAAGTTATCATCGAAAAAATTACACCCATGTTACTGATTATCAAATAAATAGGAAGGATAGAATAGTTTGTTATTCCTCTTGTAATGCAAACAAGCCAGCAAAGGACTACTCGCCTCAGAGTTACCACTGTCGATATCTTAACCTTGGTGAAACAGCTAAAAGTCTGTCTGTACTTACTGCAGTCAGTGTGAGGACAGAGACGCCATAGAAAATAACCCCCAAGGTTCGGTTGATGAGCGAGCCATGGTAACAAATTGCAGAGTGTTCTTGGGAAATTATGTAAGGGCGATGAAACGGCTGGAAACTGAGTCCAACAGTGATATCAGTGCATGCAAGATTACTGAACAAACATTTTGATGGTTGATGAAGGGAAGAAATCTTGTAGAGAGGGAAAAGAATGAGACCATTTCCCACAATGGCTGCAATGGAAATTATAAGATCAATGACGAAACAAACATAATAAGACTTCGATCATATACGCCCGTGAAGCAACGAAATTGATTAATTCTTGTTTGGTTTGTATTTTCCGTTAGGTTCTCCATGTTATTTTATAGCAGTTACCACTCTTTCATTGCTAAAGGCGTTGAGAACTCTCCTCTTGAACACCACACTGAACATCCAAAGAACGAATCTAGTTTCCGAAATGAGCAGGTGGTGATGTTTAAGTCTCTCTAGCCATGTAAGACTTTCAACTGCAGACGGGGGTTTTCTATATTCAAGAAAAACAGAGTTGAAGGGTTTTCGGTCAATACCATTTTGTTTTCTTTTCCTGCGGTGATTTTCCAATATTTCGTGTGGCTTATTTCTTCATTTTTACTTCAAAAGAAGCATGGAGGTAATTGTTTCTTTTCAGCTGGCTATTTGCGGTGGTAACACTTTTTTTCCGCACACCACACCCAACTCGTTTCAAAGCAAATTTAATTAATTTTAAAGTTGTGTTTTCTCTTTTAAACTTAAACCCTAATCGAATTCATTCAGAGGAAAACGTAATATCGAGCTAAGATTTTCACGAATATTTTTTAGCCTTGCGCCTATGTTTTTCGCCAAGTTAAAGAGTACCTCTACTCACTGACATATCCTGACGAGCCGGCAAATTGGCTCTGGCTAATGAATTCTGAATTTAGGGAACACACTCGTGGCAAAATAATTAATTTTTCAGAGAAGTGAGAATTACAGTAAAGAAGACAATCAGAGCGTTTTGTTGTTGTTTGTAGCTCAATGATGTCTTTATTTATGAGAATTCACCACGATGTTTCTTAACATAAGTATATTATGCAAATTTTTTCATCTAAAAAGCACTTGCTTATAAAAGAACCACAAATATGTTACCTTAAAAACAAAACGAGCATAGCTAAGAAGGGCAAAGACACACATGGGTCAGGAACTGAAAAGAAAAGCTGACTTGTTGAGAAAGCTCTACAAAGTATTGGCGAAAAATAATTCACAGATTCTACGTCATTTAGTGTGTTAAATAAATGTGGCACCTGCTTACTAAACATGATGAAAATTCAAAGAATATGAATTAAACACGAAAGAGTTAAAAACAAGTCTAATTATAGCTGTGACATTTGTCATCGGAAAATCAGACAACAGGAGGAATTTTTTATCCAATAGAAACTGCTAAAATTCTCAACAAAACAATAATACTCTTATATCGAATACGGATCGCCTAATAAACGTTCATTTGCTGCCAAAAGAGGGAAAGACAGAGCCACAAGTCTGAACGTGAGCGCGAATGGCGACCCTCACTAGCCAGTTATCTTCACAATTACCAATTGGAGTAGTAGCATTTCTCCTCGCTTTCAACATTGTCCTCTCCTTCATTGCATCTCTTGGTAATGCTCTGCTCCTATTAACATTTTATAAAGTGTCCTCTTTGCATCTCGCTGCAAAGGTCTTGTTTGAATGTCTAGCCGCTACCGATCTTTGTGTGGGTCTTTTTTCACAACCTCTGTTCGTGACTGTGTTATTTCTTTACATTGATCTTGGTAACACCGACATAGATATTGTGTATTACGTCGAAGAGGTTGTTTGTATATCCAACTATGTTTTGTTTGGAGTGACTGTACTGATATCAACAGCCATCAGTGTTGACAGACTTCTTGTTCTGTTATTGAGGCTGAGATACAGACAAGTTGTGACACTAAAGCGAACTCAAGCTGTTATACTTTTATGCTGGATAATTGCTGTTTTATGCGGATTGGTTCTTGTCTGGAGTCAAACGGTTTCGGAGATTGTTGCTTTTGTGGCCGTTGTGGTATCTCTGGTTACTTCAGTGTTTTGCTACGTAAAGATTCCCCTGAGATTACAGCGGTACCAGGCTGAAGTAGAAGACAACCCTGGCGAAGGACGGTCAAATGTAGGAGAAGATATAGGAGCAGGAAAAGATGAAGCAGGCGCAATAACGGGGACAAGAACAGCCACAGAAGAAGGAGCAGGAGTAAACGGTACAGGAAGGGGAAGAGTACGTGCATGGACAGCAAAAGGTTCATCGAAACAAAGATTAAACGAAAGAGTTCAACCAAACATCAAACAATATCAGAAAACAGTTTCCAGCATATTTTGGGTGCAGTTGGCTTTAGTGGCATGCTACACCCCTTTTATAATTGTGTCGATATTGAGACATACAGTACTTAGTGGATCAGCAATTCATGCTCTGTGGCTCTTTACGAAAACTTTAGTTTATCTGAACTCATCTCTGAATCCCTTTCTTTACTGTTGGAAAATCACAGAAGTGAGAAAGGCAGTAAAGGACACAGCCAGGGCGTTTTGTTGTTGTTCGTGATTCGAGGTCGCCTGTACTTATTTGGAAAAACTTTCGGTGTCCTTAAAGAATTAATTTCTTGCGAATTTTTATATTAATCAATAAGGAATCATTGAATGCTGACAAGCAATTGCACTTACAGAGTCGAAAACTCTATTGCAATATGAGGAGGAATACAAATTTCTTTTTCTTTTCCATGTTCTCTTTACAGGAAGGAGAATAAGAAGAAGAGGAAGACATAAAATCAATTAGTCTTTTTTTTTTGCCATGAAATACAATGAGATATTGTTTGAGAATTGATTCTTTCTATCTATTTTGGACAGGTTTCTAATATTTATTTAAAGATCGCCCATGCATAAACAAAATTAGTAAATAAACGTTAATTGTGGACTTGTCTTTGCTCGATGTGCCCTGTTCTCTCATACGTAAATCTAATAACTCGCATATTGACTAAACAAACCGTTTTCAGCGAAGTGCGAAGCAACTTTGTCGAATAAAACCTCAAAAGAGTCTACCCCGTACATTTGTGCGGCCCCTTTAGTCCTATTGCCGGCGGCGCTTTTAAACAAGTAAGGTTGTTATTTTCTTTTCCTTTTTCGCCGCCTCAGTTATTGCTGACTTCTCTATACATACAGTCACAGTGAACCACTGCTTTCTTTTGCATTTTTGGCCTCTTTCAGCTGACTTTTCCCCACAATCAGGAGGAAAAACATCAAGATGAATATGTCTTACCTTTATTTTAAAATGCGTCATGCTTGAATATCAAATAAGACTAAATTAAACATCTCGCAAATTGAGGAAGCCACAAAAATGGCTGATTGGTAATTAAATGGCTTATATTTTGGTATTAGTAAATTCTAGAATAACAAAAAACGAGATTTAGCCAAACTTTAAGTTCTCTTGAACTTTAACTTTATGATGAAAACACAAGCGCGCGTCTCAGCCCTTATCAATGTTCAACAAAATTTTTTTTTTCCACAAACAGTTCACTTCTGCTTCCAAAAACAAAGCGTGGAATGTGTAATGATGTATCACGAATAAATCATTCACACGAGCTCTAGAATATACTCTAGGCCATTTTGGCAATAGTCTTGGTTTTAAGGGCGTGATGAATGACTCAATAGCTTAGTCATGAAAACCGGTTACGCTCACAAAGAAAGGCACAATCCGTCTCCTGACGGTTTTCAAGAGGTATTACGTGTTTACTTATCAGTACCTGTTATAGTATTTAGCTAGAGACTGGCAAATTGGGTCATCAGGCTTTCAAATACTTTATTCTTAGTCACATAAATAGACCGTTTTTGGTTGACAGGTATGTCAGCCTGCTTGTTTTGATAACACCAAGGGTAATAATAAATGATTATTGACACACTTTAGTTATTGTTGTGCGTATGCTGGTGTTTGGTGGTCAGCCAAGACCTTTCAAATTTATTTATATTTCCTTTATTGACATTAATTTTACAAGATATGGATAGAAAGATGATTCATTTTCCAATGTTGTTTTTTCTGAAATGTTTGCATTATCGATGCTAATCGCTACACTGGAAATTTATCAAATGTTTATTATTTCTTAACTCTTCACCGAGGTAGATTTAACTAGAGGTGGATATTTACCAAGCTGCGAAGCGGAGATGTAAACACCCACCTCTTGCCACCGCACTTAAATAACTATTTGTTTTAGTGTATACTTTAATACTATGAGATAAAATGATGCAAAAAGATGATTTTGATTAATTTACTCCTGCAGCAGTCTCAACTTTTTTGGGCGCAAATCCCGTGGAGGTGAATGGAGAAGGATGAGCGAAGTTACGTTTTAGTGATTACTTTTGGGTTCTTTATATTCATTTTGAGTGGGTCGAAATATGTCAGATTTTCGGGAGGTTCAAATAAAAACATACTTAAATTTAATTTCGTGTACAAAAATTTCAAAACCCTATCTAAACGATAAATACTTCCTACAACGTATCCTCAACAGCCAAGTAGACAAATACCGAAATAAAAGACATGAACCAAAATTGTGTAGATTGACGTCAGAGTCCCTACTGATCTTTTATCGACGATCGTGGTTTTACTTCACTTTAATTTAAAGGACACTCCACGTCTCAGAAAACTGGGAAAGAAATCTGAAGCTTAGCATCATCCAATAATATTCAGTAAAACAAGATTGAGGGGCATATGAAAAGTCATTTACATATATTCTGAATAAGGCAAGTCATGGAACAACCGCTTGTGGCACTCTGGACTCTGGCTTGTGGCACTCTGGATTCAAAGACCAGAATTTATGAGCACTACTTGTTGTCTATCAGATGGATTAATGATGAACTAAGCCACACCGAAATGCCATCATTAATCTTGGCAAAGGCCTTGCTCATGTCAAGAAACACAACGAAAAACAGTAAGAAAATAACCGCAGTTGCCTGTTTCTCTAAAAAATCAGCACAGTTCTTCCCACGATGAAAGTTGAAGTAATAGGTTAGGCAATGTTAGCTTTATATGTAAGTGCTCGTGGAAAAAACAAAATTGAAAAATGATTGGATGAGAATCCATTGTTATATTGGCTCGACTGTGTTTTGAAGGAGTCTAAATGTCATTTTAGTTTATTGTGTCCATCAGATGTACAGTTAGATTTCCTCGCCCTACCCTTTTTCTCCCTTTTGTCTCTACTCTTATTAATGACATTTTATGCGCATATGCCTTTGTTTTACTTAAAGTGGTCTGATCCGAACCAGCAATTTTGCTGCAACGAATGGAGTAAACAAAACGAGTTTAGCTTATATAACTTTACTGAAGCATTTAGAGGGTGCTTTACAACAATTTAATTATTCCTGACAGGCTAAATATTCATTGTGACTTGGGAGAGATCAACTTGTCCATTATTTTTCTTCTCTTCAATGCACTTACAAAAAAATTAAGAAATATTACTTGTACTAGGAACAACACTCACAAATTTACGCAAAATTTCTGACTAGATCAGTTATAAAAATTATCTTAACAGCAATTTCTTTTTCTTTTTTTTTTCTTGTCTCTATCAGCCTACAGTCAATAACAACAACAAAGCACTGACAAGTGCACCAAGCGAATAAACGGTAAACTAAGAAATGCAAAAGTGAAGTAAATAAACAAGTTTTTTTTCCAAGAAAATTCCATCTAACCTCCATTTATAAACTATGAAAATGGTTATTATCACTACCAAAGCATTAATAAAGTAAAAGTACGATAGAAACTACATCTTAAAATCAAAAGCTATGAAATATTGAGGCTGAAGTTCTCGAAATCTAAACTACAAATTACCACAGAGTGTTATAAGACTACAACCTTGGAGGTTCAGCAATTCTGCTATTAAGCCTCAGTCCTGCACAAGAGGAGTTACTTCAGATGACTCCTCGTCTTCGTCACTTCCAGTTTCGTCTTTATCTGCAGCAGTAAGTTGATTACCATCATACTCTTGTACGCCAGCCTCCCCGTCAAGAAGGTCTACAGCATCACTTTGGTCGTCCATATAGTTTCCAAGATCGTCTTGTTCATCCTTCGTGTACTCTAGTTGGCAAGTCTCAGGTTCTTCTTCTACTGCCTCCTTTTCAGATTGAACTGTTACAGCACCTTCATAACCAACGTTACTTTCAGGTTCACTTGTTACACCTTCTTCGTCATCAATTTGAATATCTGGAGGAAAGACGGAATCACTGTGGCCTTCTTTTTCGATCAGGGGATTGTATTCTAAAGAATCAAGATCTTCTTCCTCCATCACACAAGGGAATGGTGAGGTATCAGGTTTGTTCACCTCATTTGTGGAGCGTGCTAAAGAGTTAGGATCTTCTTTTTCAGTAACAGAAAGGCTTCCTGTGGCTTCGAAATCTTCTTCCCCAGTTACAGGGGAGCATGCTGAGTTATTGGAATCTTCTTCCTCACCCATAAGGGGGCATGCTAAAGAATCAGAATTTTCTTCGTCAGTCACAAGGGGACATACTGAAGCATCTAGACCGTTTTGGTCCATCACCAGGGAGGATGGTAAAGGATCAATTTCTTCTTCCTCAATCGCAAGAGGGCACTCGTAGTCATCAATTTCTTCTTCCTCAATCGCAAGAGGGCACTCGGAGTCATCAACATCTTCTTCCTCGTTCTCGCTAAGATATGGTAAAGTATCACTCTCCAAAGGGTATGCTTGGGCATCCATATCTTTCTTATCACTCTCAAAAGGGTATGATGCGCAACCTTCTTCTTCTACTTTGATTCCGAGGGGGGAAGCTGTAGCACCATCGTCAATTCCAACCATAGAGGGATGTGCCGTAGCACCGTGCTTACCCACTTCACGGGCGAGATTTCCTGCGGCTGCCTCTTTGTCTTGTAAGTTAATAGCGAAGGGGAAGGCTGTAGCACCATCGTCAATTGCAACCACAAAGGGATGTGCAGTGGCACCGTGCTTACCCACTTCATGGGCGAGATTTGCTGCAGCTGCCCCTTTGTCTTGTAAGTTAATAGCGAAGGGGAAAGCTGTAGCACCATCGTCAATTGCAACCACAAAGGAATGTGCAGCATCACCGTGCTTACCCACTTCATGGGCGAGATTTGCTGCAGCTGCCCCTGTATCTTGTACGTTGATAGCGAAAGGGAAAGCTGTAGCACCATCGTCTATTGCAATCACAAAGGGATGTGCCGTAGCACCGTGTTCACCCACTTCACGGTCGGGATCTGTTGCAGGTGCTCCTTCGTCTCCGACGTTAATTCCAAAAGGGAAAGCTGTAGCGCCATCGTCCATTGCAACCAGAAGGGGATGTGCCATAGCACCGTGTTCACCCACTCCACAGATGGGATTTGGTGCAGCTGCTCCTAGCTCGTCCGCTCCTGCATCTTCTGGGTTTGCAACAGCTCCACGGTCATCGACAAAGTTGTACTTATCCTCATCATACTTGTCATCGTCAAAGATATCTACATATGTCTATGAAAAAGATTAGAAGTTAATCAGGAACTGCATGAGTTAAAAAATCTTGAACGAAGGAATTTCAAAAATGAGTCACTAAAAAGACAAAAAAAGAGCAGATCAGATATCGGTCACAAAGACAAGAACCATTAGTACTTGCATGAATTGATAAGGAAAAAATTCGGGTAAGGTCTCCCTTTCTGTCAAAGTTTTCCAAAAGTGTAATTTTAAGATCTGTTCCGTTCTTTCTTGTGTGTAGACAACAGAGGGAAAATAAGGATGATCCAGACTGACATGACGTAACCACACTTGCATATGTTTAAAAAGTAACATTGGTTTCATGATGAAACTGAATTCACAAATTGTTAGCGGCTTGGTAGTTAATGCGTTTTGACATCACATTGACGTGAAAAGAAATCCGCAATTTACTTGATAGGATACCAATTTCAATTGCTAAAGTATATCCTGAATTAGACGCTGTATGGCAAACCTTTGTTTTAATATATATATCCATTGTTTGGTAGAGCTTCACAAAGTGTGGCCGGCTGGCGCTTTCGTATTTCCAGCAGTTTAACATCACCGCGTATCTATAGAAAAACACAGGGACATATGATCACAGTAATTCCGCGATAGGCACTAATATTGCAAGTAGCAAAGTTGAGAAACCACAACTAGTTACAAAAATAACTGAAATGCTAAGTTTATCTCATTACATTGCAGCTCAAACGAATTCTGTGATGAAAAACCCACCGCATTCTTTATTTGACTCAACAACTTTTCATTTAAATTTTTGTATTGACAAGATAAGATTAATTTCTTAGGAAGACTTCTTATTCAGACCAAGAGTATCAAAAACACCTGACCATAGCAGCAATCGATATTGCTTTTGACTTATATAACATTCCACACATAGGAAGCAACACTTACAAACTGTCGTCGATATGTTCAGGCTTTGGCAGACGATAACCTTCTTCGATTTCTTTCATTGTCGTGGATTGAGACCATCCTTCGTAAGGAATGCCTCCTGTGGAAAAATAATGTTTTTTTCTGTTCGCCAAAAAAGCACACTCTTTTTGTTGTAATCACTTTCATTCCTCTCAGGGCGATCGAAATGATTCTTCTGTGAAAACGACAATTAATTGCTGAAATAGATTTCGGTTTTACATCAGATGAAAGAGTACTGTAAAAAAACAAATTTAAGTGTAGCGATGGATTTAAGGTTTTTCAATAATGTACTAAATACTTTCAGTTCTACTTAAACTTAAGTTTTATGTCAAGTTGTTATACATCGTCATAATTTTATTTATCAGCAACATTGAGTACTGCTTCAACTTCTCTATCGCACAATGCTCTTTTGTTCGCTCGGTATCACTCATCAATTAGTAATTGTGCGTGCAATCTCGGCAGGTATATTTCCTGAATGTAAAGTAACAAACAAGTTAAGTACCGACAGTGAAGATCTCATACAGGACGATGCCGTAGGACCACCTGTCAAAGAAATAGAAGGATGACGATATATCTCAACTGGGGTAGAAAGATTATAATCACTCAGATACTTGGGATGTTTAAAAACATGCCATCAAGACATAAGCAACCTCCTTAACAGAAAACGCCATATTTATTTGTTTGATTATCCACTCATCCTTTCATCCGTCTGTTCTTATCCTAATCAGATTTTGGATATTGCTCGTTAAACTTAATATTCATGTAAAGTCTCATACTACAGCTGTAACCTCAGCTGTTTCCCAGCTTGACGTTTCTTAATGACCCTCTAATCAATAGAGCACTGAATATTCTAGTTTTCCTCGCTAAGTTAAGGTAGAATCGTAAAAATGTTCACTCTTGGAATATATGTTGATAATAACCAATACAGTACGTACACATCGCTTTTGGTTGACAGTTGTTCCACATGTCCAAAGAGAATCTCGGGTGCAGTCCATTTGATTGGGATACATCCCTGGATGAGTAATCAAAATACTATAGACATCTGACATCTAAAGAGCCTTGTATACAACTTCTAAAATATTTTGCATATAAGATTAAAACCGTGATGTGAGGACTTATGATAATGTCAAGAGCAGTAGACACCTTTGTACAAATTCTATGGAAACAATTCACACACTCCTTTTCCTTTAAATCTCCTGTTTCTTTGCCCTTCGAGTTTGTATCTTTGCTATTCAGAGAACTATATCTCTTCCGGCTTTCTTATTTCCTGTGTTCACTCCTTAGGTACAATTTTTTTTTTCTGTGAAAGTTTCGATACGCTTAGAACGGCTTCCCATTGAAGGGAAATGTGTTTTGCAGTAAAACTGTATAACTGAAAAGAAAGGTTTGTGAGGACAGTAATATTTTAATTCTTCACTTTTTTATCTTCCATACCAGCAGCCCCAAAACCAATTGACTAAATGATGAAAAAATTCTGAAAATTACCCTCTTGGCATTTCCTGGGCCGTATTTGAAATCCTGATAAGAGAGCCCAAAGTCAGTCAACTTGCAGACACGATGCTCATCAAGAAGGATGTTACGAGCTGCAAGATCGCGATGAATTATCTGAAATCGAAAACAAAAAATGATATGATCTGCCAAAAGGGACTTTTATAAACTACATAAAATAAAAAATAAAATATAGGTAGAAAGTTTAACATCATGCTAATATCAAACCATTTCTCTGTGAAATAGTGATTCTAATGTGCTGGATCTTTTTAGCTGTACAGAATATTCTTTTGACGATTTGCAAGTCACGCCATTTTAAGACATGCAGGATCACATACTGACCAGAAAGAGTTTGAGCACTTACCCCTCTGGACGCGAGAAAAGTCATGCCATGTGCGATCTGTTTAGCAAACAGCACCATGTCATATGTTGTCAAGTGGTCGACCCCTCCGACCCCATGATGATATTGGTCGAAAACCCCCCTGGATTTTCTGAGATAGCCCAGCAAGTCACCTCGCCACAGGTACTCCATGATAAGTATTGGCTGAGCTAAGAAGGAAAAACAAGAAAATTATATGGCAAGCAGTGTAGAAGTTGCAAAATGTGTTTAAATTGTACATGCTTTATCTACTTATACATTTGGTTATATCTAATAAAGAGAGGGAAAGTCAAAGAGGAAAAAACGCAGATAGAAAACGGATGGACACATGCAGCAGATACAGAAATACAGACAGGCACACAGAGAGATGGACAGACAGACAGATAAACAGAAAGGCAGGAAAATAGGGATGGCAGATAAATAGACAGAGACTTCCCATCGTAAGTTAAAACTATTATCACAATTAGCGTGTAAATTTTAGAGCTTAAATCTTCCAAGTAAAATGGCCTACATACAGTGCGAAGTAAATTTCTTTAGATTAGACAAAAATTGAAATAACCCTTGAATTAGTACACCATCTAAGCAATACTGGTTGACGTCGGATATGTTTTTATCGTTACTGTGAATTAGCTGATTATATTCATAAAAATAGCTGATTACCTCCAACTGTAACACAACCAATGAACTTAACAACATTTTCATGGCCCTCCCTTCCAAAGAGTTTTAATAACTCGATCTCTCTCAGCAGGGCCTTCCTTCCTTTCTCTCCGGAGATTGCTGGGAAACCACACAAAAATTAGATAAACAAACAAACTTTGTATGTCAAGAGAGACACAATTATGTGGTAAACATTTTTGTATACTAAGTGCTATATTACCAGCGCAACTTCGAATAAATTTGGTCTACATAAAAAAAAGTTAGTTTTCTAAACCCCATATAATCCATACTTGCCACAAAAATGTCAGTTAGCCGTCTTGTTCAGTTGTATAGAACATGAAATTTCAAAAGTAGATTCATCCTTGTTGAAAAAATTATTTGCTAAGAAAACGCTGCACATCTCGAGCATTGTTGTTAACTAGGCAAGCTCAATGGACCGCGCAATTGTTTACAGACAACTTACAAAAGTAGAGACGCAATTAAGCCTTGAAATTGCACCTGTTATAATACCTAATAGTCGGTCGAATAGATATTTGAGCGTTCTTGTTTCCTACCGTTCATATGGTACATAATCCTTGCTTTTATCTTACTAAAAACTACAATAATTCGTTAGCATTTCCAGAATTATTCTAAATTCGTTTGACTCTATAAGCTTGTTACAGTCGAACCTGTATTTAGCGGTCACACACGGGAAATGGTTGACCGTTTAATATAGGTTCCACGGAATAGGGCTACTATTGATAAAAGTTTAAAAAAGCCACTCTATGCCATCACGGACCACTTAACATACACAACCTCGCTCAAAAATATTACTAACATTGATTTCGGGAGATAAACATGGATTCAATTTTACTTGAAAGATTATTCTTAATTTTATTTGAGTACTTCCGCTTTAGTGACCGTTCAATACAGGTAAGGAACATTAAAAATAGGCTGTTGGGACTTAGTAAAGGGTGACCACAACTGTTTGATATAAAAAGCACTATAAGCAAAGGAGGAAAGTTTCGATACTTTGAAAACCGACCGCTTATTACAAGGTGACCGCTTCATACAAGTTCTATTGCATTATGACGTTCAGCTTTTCCAGCGGAAGAAGATCGTACTACCACCACTAAACTGGCAAATGGCTCTGAGCTTTTTGCGCCAGACTCACCCTCTCCAGGTTTCTTTGAGGTCACATGACATTATTTCCCATCAAAAGTTTCTAAGCGAGCAATTTTACAAAATACACGACGGAGTGACATTTTCAGTATTATGGTATTTTCCGCTTTTATTCGCTTGAATGCAATTTAACCAATAAATTTTCATTTTTCTCCGCAGCTTCTAATACTTCAAATGATATTCGTGTTCTGTTGTATGGTAGTAGCGTTGTATGACAAAAGACTTAACAACCGATCCCCCGGGGAACCATCCGCTAACAATTTGACATGCCAGCTGGTAAATCATTTTAACAGCGCACAGTTTTTAAGCTATCCATGTTATGTATCAAGTACGTTAATAAAGCATATTCTAAGTGAAATGCCCTTTATTAAGATATATTACTCAAAAAATTAATAAAGGATAGTTTAATCAAGCTTTGTAAGTAAGTACTTACGTAGGAAGCATTTCGCAGCAACCGTGCGATTTCCAGGTCTGCCTCGAGAACGACCCAGTAGCGCTCGCCACACTGAACCGAATGCCCCTCTGCCAATATGCTCGCGAAGGATCAGGCGGTCAACTGCAATCTCCCATCCATCTGTGTTTACGTTCAGCTGATCCATCTCAACTTCATCGTCCCCTTCACTGAATAATTTCAGATGAAAACAAGACTTTAACTATCTGTGTTAGCTATCTATCTTTTCCTTCTTTGAATCTGGTTTAACGTAAAGTGGTAAAGATATCCTCTATATTTTCACTTTAATTTTTTTCTTTTCGTTTTTATTTCCGGGTGCTTCAGAAAATTATCACTTGCCAATGAAAAAATTATTGAAATAGGTGAAATTTAGATACTAATTTACTGAACGTATCGACTCAGAGAGGAGATTTTATCGAATAAACTTAGCGCCGACTGTGTTTTTCGGCATTTTACGTCATATAAATATCGTGCCTCTTACGCGAGAAATGAAATACTAATTAAAACCATCCGAAGTATTGTCCACAATCGATACATCGAGTAATATTATTATAAATCGGTCTACAAGACTCCGAGTGTATTTCAACTGTAGTTTCTGTAACAAAGAGTGACGAAGGGTCAAAGCTTCTCTTCTTCTTTAAAAGTACGCCACCCACAACCTAGCGTACTGGTAACAAAAAAAAAAGGTACTAAACAAGATGTCAAAACAAGTGAAGGACGGACGAATCCAAAACAGACAGGATGTTAGGAAACATTCGATTGCCATTTGATAAGAACGGCTTCGAAAACTGCTGCTGGTTCGAAATAAAAGACCTTTTATTTCGGCCAGTGTGCTCTTAATGGTGAACATAGTCAGTCCGAACAGAAAAAAAAAGACGTATTTACTCAGCAGTGGCGCTTATCACTACTCTACTGAGACTTATTCAAGAGTTAGAAACTTCGGAAATAACCACACGTTCAGACATTGAGCATTAAAAAGGGAATTCACTTACCGCAGCCTAGGTGGCACCTCAGGTGGGGCTATTGTCAAAGGATGTGTGGAAACAGATGAAAGAAATCGCTTCGTTGTGAGTAAGAATGACATCATTAACTAAATTAAAGCTTGCGACTCAGAAACCACGTGTAACTTATATTTGACTCTGTTGTCAAACAACAGGAGAAGGAATAAGGTGGGTTATCATGGTAATTAGTTTCATATAATTTGTAACGTTTTTGTAATTTGATTAGTAATGGCCTTTGCCGAGACTGTAGAGGTACCAAATCAGCGCTGGAAATGCACAATATGACCTGCTTTAAATAGCTCCTTCGTGCTCCAAAACACTGACGTATTAAAAGCCACAATCTGCCGTATGAAGGCATTTTATTTTCGTAAAATGGTAACATTTTACCTGTTTAAACGCAAAATTTTTTAATGTATGAAATGAGCGCCAGTCCAAAAACGACAGCAGCCAAGGGTCAGGAATAAATTTGGAAAAACAAACCACTTCAGTGAGCTGCAGAGAAAGGGGAACCTCTGTTTCAAACTCGTTTTATCAAATAAAAGAAGAAAAGTTTTTAGTAGGAAAGTAATTTAATTACTAAAATTATATGTAGTTCCTTAAACAGCTTACCTTTGACATTTACTATCACAACAGAGCGAGCCACAGTTCCTAGCTTGTTGCGTGCTTCACAAGAATATTCACCACTGTCCTCTTCCACAACTTCAGTAAGAGCAAGTTTACTCTTTGTCTCGTCTAATCGTGTTTCTATAACTGCTCTTTCTGTTATTGTTTCTCCATCTTTTTTCCACGTTATGTTTATTGTTTCTTCGTTGAATTTGCAGGTCAATGCCAGGGCATATCCTTTAATGAGCGTTATGTATTTCTCTGAAACAACTTGAGCAGAGGCTTTTCCTGCGTTGAAAAAGGGGCAATTCGTTAGAATGCTAGTGTCACATTAAAACTTCAACTGCATTAGAAACACGCCAAAAACAAACATGGAAACGAAACGAGTCAAATGCGACCTCTATAGGAATGATTCGAACAGGTTGCTTTAAGTGAAAAAAAAAGAGAAAAGTGTTTCCTTGTGAGTTTTGTGAGGTTTAGGAAGAGTTTCAGAACAAGCTTGAAGCCCTTATGTTTAAAATTTCCTGGTTACTGTTTCAACCGACCCAGATCCTCCGCTGAACTTCTAAATTAAGGTCTTTATAATGTTCCATCTTCTCTTGTTCTTTTTTCTGCACCCTTGTGCAAAAAGGACACAACAAGTGAGTCATGCAACACGAAGTTTCTTACTTTTCCAGCACTGCGGTAGTGGGTGTGATTTCAAGTAGATGATCGTCCGTCTAAATTCTAAAGTACTACAACAACTTCATTAGGTGGTTTTCTATCACTTCCTGAGGAGAGTGGACTTACTACATTTTCTCGAGTGGACTTACAACATTTTCTCAAGCTGACACGGTTAAATTTCCATGGATAAATTATGGGTTTCATAGACGGAACTAGAATCAAGAGCTGTTATGACATTTCAATCGATAGAAAATACTTCTTGGAAAGTCTGTCCATATGGTAGTTTATGGATAAGTTGGTAGTATCGGAAATCGAACAGGTGTGCGCAGCTAACCAATGAGATTTCTTGTACAAACCGACTCCCTGTTTCCTCTTTTGTGTTTTTGCTCTGCATGCTTTCTATTCCGCATAATTCCTCAGTCATCTTTGGTTTAATAAACAGTCCTGAAAGCCGATTTTTATAATGTTACAGACGGAAACTTGGGAAGAAAATTTTACTTCGTGCTTTTTCAGCGTGTAAATCCGTAAATCTTGACTCTGTGATATTCTCCATCCTCATTGGCTAAGTAACATTGCGATTTAAAAAAAGCCATAAATCGACTTCGCGGAGAGATCTAAGAGAATTGAGGATGCGAGGGAATGCTTAATCGTTATTCGACCTCCGATTTCAGTCACGGATAGAAGCGTATTCGCTATAGGTATTTTCCTCTGTTCTAGTTTTGTTTCTCAATGTAGAGAATACAATCGTGTGTCGTATTTAACTTTGGCTTTTGCGTCTCGCTTTCTTTTTGCTTTCTTCAGAGTTTCTGGATCTCCGTCTCGGAATTCTCTTCTTCAGATTTTTCCAGCTTGAAAGTACATTGCAAATCGTCAAGTATTTGGAATCAGTCAACTCTCTGTTGTGCCATCACTTGTCCTTTTTCCTTGGCGTTTCTTTCCTACCCAGATCTACGCAGTTCTTTGCGTGTGTAACCATAAAGATCCAAGGACATAAGTATTAAGCATTGATATCACCAGGTTTTTGAAGGTCAGGCCCCGGTTGCTCGAAGGGTGAATAACACTATCCACTGGATAAAACTCTATCTAGTGGAGAACGCTTTACGTTTTGCTATCACACATTGACCGGATAAATATTTAACCGTTAGATAGCGTTATCTGCCCTATATACAAGTGGGCCGAGTTTGCCTAAATTATCTTCGCGCTGTTCCTTTTCTCCGTCGCCATTGCCATGGATTTACAAGTTCATATTTCTGTCTTTATTTCTTCTCTCCCTATTTCTCTTTTTCATCTTCAACATTATCATCGTCATCATCAACGTCCTTATCGTCGTCGTAGTCATTATCATCATCAATATCATTTTAACTGAACTTACCATAAACATGCAGAGTTGCTGAGGAACTGGTTGTGTTTGCTTTGTTTTTTGCTGTACACTTGTAAGTCCCATTCATCCCTTTCGTGACACTTGGCGAAACTAGGAATGATTCTCCTTCGTGATCGGTTTGATTGATACCAGATGGCAGGTCACCATTATTAAAAGTCCAGACCAAGGTTGGTGTTGGAATACCCGAGGCTACGCAATTAAGGTTTACAGGGTATCCTTCCGTAAGAAATTGGCTTTTCGGAGGCTGAATGATCTGGGGAGAGACTTGAAGTAAAAAGATCACCAAGCTAAACAAAGGGTCGCATTTTCCATTTTAACCCCCTCTCCCCCCTCCCTTATCCAACCCTAAGTTAACTAGTTTCGAAATAAAAGCAAATTACGTTATTGCCAAGTCTATTTTTAATCCAAGGTTATTTTGAAATTAGTTTTCTTCACTTTTGATATAGGAAGGTATAAGTCAGCCCGATGTGACATCAAAATATTCTTTTATTTTCTTAAAAGATTTCCTATCTTAGCAACAACCCAGGATGTAACAATTTAGTCACCTATTTATTAATTTCTTCATTCTTTTCTTACTGGTTGTTAGGTGTAATATCAACACCCCGTGCTACCATGTTCAAGGATTACCAGTTTCTCTGAGTTCAAACTACACATTTACTTTGAAGAATACCCAAATAGTAATGGTTAAAAGGTTTGCATTCCATGAAAACGTAACGTTAAATCTTTCATTTTAAACACTCAGATCGTCCGTTGTAGCAAGAGTACAAGTTCATGGAGATGTAACAGCGGCATTATTTTCATGTATTTCTTTTTAGTTTTGGTCGCTGATTTTTCAAATTTCAACTCAATGAAAAGTTTACATGGATGTTTCGCTTTCCAACTTCAGTAATAAATACTTAAATAATAATGCACTGATAGCCACTTTGACATTTTTGCACTTCTAAAAATGTACATGAAATCATGACTTGTCAGCCATTGTTATTTAAGAAGCAGACAAAAAGGTAATTAAAAAATTTAAACGGACTTTTATAATAAATGCCGCGACAAAACATGGTGATATCTATAAAGTCAAAATTGCTCGACGCTCCAAAAGGCAATCTGTTTAAACTGCCCAAAAATTAAGTAAATGTCTGATCACGAAATTCATTTACATTTGATAAGTTGGCATGTTCTCGCCCTTTAAATGTTATCATCAATTAAGTACTTTTTTATTATTTTTAGTCAATTTTGAAACTCTTGTGGTTTCAAGTCCTTAAATTTGATTTGGTATCATAGAAACGATTTTATCCTCATCCAACCAAAGATCCAAATTGATTATCGACTTCAGTTCTTTCTATTTGTAAATAAGAACCGTACCTCCCGCCACTTCAATCCAGAAAGTTGAGTTTTTGCTTCCTTCGCTGTTTTTGGCGCTGCAAGTGTATTGACCAGAGTCTTCCAATCTCGCTTGGCGAATCGTGAGAGTGTTGTTGTTACCGCAATTCACCCCATCCTTAGTCCAGAGTATCTCGGGTGTAGGGAAACCGCTTCGAGAGCAAATGAACTCAAGCGACGAGTTATAGGCAACCGACTGATTCTTGAGCTCAGTACTAATTTCAGGAGGACCTGGGCATAGAATTCAATAGTACAATTTAAAAACAAGGTGAAAGTATGAAAAGAAAAATTAGAAAATGAGAATAGAAACTGAGAGAAACAAAAGTAAGTCAATATTTACCTGTAACTGTAATATGAAAAGCTGATTCATTTTTCCCTTCACTGTTTTTAGCGCTGCATGTGTATTGACCAGCATCTCCATAACTCACTCGATTAATTGTGAGAGTGTTGTTGTTACCAAGATTCACCCCATCTTTAGTCCAGAGTATCTCAGGTGTAGGGAAGCCGTTTTGAGAGCATTTGAATTGAAGCGATGTATTATATGTAACCGACTGATTCCTGAGCTCAGGGTTGATTTCAGGAGGACCTGGGCATAGAAGTAACAAGTCCAATTCAAAAAAGTGAAAGTTCAAAAAGAACAACAGAAAATGAGAAGAGCAATATAACGAAAATACGTAAGTCAACATTTACCTGTGACTTTAATATGAAAAGCTGCTTCATTTTTCCCTTCACTGTTTTTAGCGCTGCATGTGTATTGACCAGCATCGCCATAAGTCACTCGATTAATCGTGAGCATGTTCCTGGTATCAAGTAACTTTCCATCTTTTTTCCAGTTCACCTCTGGTTTAGGAAAACCCCTCACGAAGCATTCAATTTGAAGTGTTGAATGTAATTTGACAGACTTCTCTCGCCGAGAATTTATTTCAGGAGGACCTTTTTAGTTTTGAAAAGGAAAATAATAATTTATATAAAACTTGATCCCCATCCCCTCCCCCTCTACTTCTTTTTAATCGTCGTTCACAATCTTAGTGCAACTGTCTTTCTCTCCCCAGCTCTCCCCTGCCGTAAAAATCAAAGCTTGCAACCATGATCTTCACTTAGGAATAATACTTAGCACCCGCTCACGAAAATCACGCCTGTTCTACATGAAACTGTAATGATCTTTCTTTTTCTACTAAAGAAAAATTGCCTTTGTTTTTAGTGACAAAACGTAAATCTAGCGTCTAATCGGTAATAATGAAACTCCTGCTGAAAAAGTAAAATGTTTTTAATTCAGTGCGAGCCATGTTTTGTTTGTTTTTTTTACAAAGAAAAAGGGGGGTAAGTTTCCAAAATCTCTTGGGTCTTATCAACTAAGTTGAAAATGTAAAATGGCCACCGTAAAGATTTTCTAAGCTAACGTTTCGACCGTTAGCGCTTTGTCAGAGCTAACGCTTGAAACGTCAACTTTGATAATTTTACGGTGGCCAATCTAAATTACTAACCCTGTTGATAAAACGAAAGTATATTAAACAAAGAGTTTGACGTTTAATAAAAGAAAAAATGAAGGATATCTGTGCAGCATTTTCTATCAACAATTGAGTCCTTTACTTTCTCCTCATACATAAAATCACTTACAGTTACAAGGCCGTGATTCCTGAGTTCTTGAGCAGTTAAATTCTAGAAGTAAGGTTATCCAGATATCTCTTTTAAAAGTAATAAATGGTTGGAGATAAATTCATCTTATTTCTAGTAAAGAAAACATCCATTGCCAATAACTGCTGAAGGTTCCTGCCTAATTATCATTGCAATCTATACATAAGAATTGATCCAATTGAATAAAAGCTTATAAATGCTGTATAGTTTTGGGAAGTTGTAAAACAATGGCGAAAACCAGCCATTGCACTTTCGAGTCACAAATTCTTAAAAACTCCCTCTTGTCACTTACCGACTCTTTGGCGGTACTGACCACACTCTCTACAGCCGCCTTTCCAAGATGACCATGCCATACAACCTTTGAAAACAATAAGTTGTGCGCATAGAGTCATATGTCATATTATCACTCTACCTATGCCGTTTTCTTCCTTTGCTGCATTAATCTACATCTTGTCATAAAGGATACCAAAATACATAATTATTATCGTTTATATCCCCAGTTTCTAATTTCCAAGGAGACTTCGAGCTAACATTTCCAAATTAAAAAAGATTAATGGCTTGAAGCTTTTAAATCACCCAGCTTAAAGTCCCCTATTTAAAAGCATCATTGGTGTTGTCTCAACATCTTTCAAAGATTTATTATGTTATAAGCCAGGGAGAGTGACACTGTTTTCTATTGCTCAAATGGATGACTGTGCAAAAATGTTAAAAGAAACAAACTAGGATTTTAACGGTTTCAATTTCTAATTTTCAACTTTACTGTAAAAGTTCTACCAGTATATGGCAGAAGCCTGAAACGTTGAAATTCAATTCTTGTAACAATTAAAAGTTTTATTTCTATGCAACATCTTTGTCCACACATCCTCTGATCAACAGAGAAGAGTATCCTGTCTTTATCGACCCTTTATCTTGCCTACTGATAAATTATAGTTCAAGTATGGCTACTTACAATCTGTTATATCAGTTAGGATGAGGATGTTAGGTGAACATGAAAAGAAAGATTCACATTCGATGAGTAAATTAGTGGCTCAATATAGCCTTGGAATACTTGACTAACACATCATAAACTTAACAAACAAACTGCACTCGTCGCACTCACCCGCTTATGAATCCGGAAAGAACGCCGTGAAAGAGAAAAACAATTTTGAAAAGATGTTAATCCATTTATCTATTCATTTGTTTATTTGAACAAACCAGTTTGTTTGTACGTCAATATATTACATTGAAATCGATAACTGTGTGACAGAATTTGTTAAATCAAGCAAACAATCAGCCACATATGACTGTTATCTGATGATAATTATACAAATATCATTATTACAGAACTTAGGTATTGATTTTATACTAATACTGTCCACATCGGTAAATCGTTTGGATAGTAACATTATGAGTAACATTATGACATTACCAGCTATCACTAACTGTCACTGATACAAACACAAATAATTCTTTGCTATTCACGATTGCAATTTGCAGATCAGTAATCAGCCGGTGCAGAGAGTCAATAATGTATATTAAGCCACAGGAGAGTTCTTTATTTATAGGAACGGATGATATTGATAGTTACCTTCCCTTTTGGCTAGACAGAAAAGATGAGATAAGAAAGGAGGAGCAGTGAATGATTTAAATAACATAGCTTAAGTTTTGTTTGTGGTCTTGGACGAGATTCAGTCGCTATCAGGAAGTAGAGAAAGTTAACATTGCTAAATCGAATGTTCTTCGTCAGCTGTCACCAGCAGATCACAGGATGAAGGGCCAGTTATGGAAGTCTTTACCAATAAAAATGTACCGAAAGCACGGGTTGAGCTCAAAATTCAAAATAAAACATAAAAGTAGACTTAAAACACATTGATGACATGGATGTCAACGTAAATTTCATTGGTTGAAACTGTATTATTGTAAGAGAAAGCGATTTTCAATGGGGATTTCAGAAGTACTCCTTGATAACATCGGAGTTTTGCTACGCCTCGTCCTACACTACAGCTTCTCAAAAAATTTGATTTCACATGATCTCGTGTGTTTTCCAGTCCTGGATGCCAAATGTTTGCTTTGAATATGAGATTATTGAGGCTCCAATGATTTTTCGTTGTTCTGCTTCGCTGTGATGATAACCTAACTTTGTTTTTACAACACTTAATCGACATGCACTCCGAAAAGAATAAACAATTCATACGCGGACCGGTTGTAAATAGAATCTTAGGCACTAAAGGAAAATATAATTGTCTTGAGCATGATTATCAAGAATAAGAATTGCGCGAGATAAACTAAATTCAACTTACCAGCTGAGTGATTGCAGAAGTGGCATGTGAATAAAAGTTATAAAAAAAAAAGAAATTAAAACGTGCATCTGTTTCTCAAAACATTCATTTGTTTATTGAGAAATGCTATGCACTTTTTCGTTGGTTTATCACCTGTACTTTAGTTAAATATGTTAACGTATACGCACTGTGAAGGTGCCATGCAAATAGATATGCTTTAAATGACAGAGAAACATGTACTTACGTCCTAACCGTTTTTCACAGTTGCCAAGGCCAAGGAATCATAAAAAAAATACATCAAGAACAGAAAAATAAATAAAATGAAAGTAATTAACTGCTAAGAGAGTTGATATTCATTAATCAGTCGGCTAAGACCTCTGCTCAACAAATAGTTCTGATATGAAACCATTTTCATGATTATGGCTTTAATTCTCATAATTAGTTTCAAGTAACTAACACCTCAATTTCACAGTCTACCACAGGTAACATTAAATCTTTTCGTAAACTGAGCCACTGAATCAAAATCGAATCCTTATCTACTTATGGTTCACACTGAATAAATATTTCCACAAGAGCCTAATTCAAAACGGTTTCAACAAGTTTCCAACCATAACTTAGGAAGCAAGGCGAATATCAGAATGCCTTGTTTATTGATGATCATAATAATATTAATAAAACGAAAATTGTAGCTTTCATTATTACAAAAGTAAGCGACAGTGACACAAATATGTTACATGATTGTTACTGCAGTAGTGAAAAGACATGTGAAATCCGCCAAATAACTATAAAAAGAAAACATACTTACGATCTGTTTTTGCCCGTTAAGGTAGCAAATAAGAAAAAGAGATATGCTAGTTAGTGAGGCACATTTGTTATTGCCTACATTGTCCTTCAGTTTGGTATCGTGAAGTAAAAGTGTCTTTTTAATGGAACAGCCGGTAGTATGACTACGCGTCTTATTACACTTGCCACAAATGTTGGGTATTTCAAATGGTTACCATGTTGGCATTCAATGGGGAAGTCTGACCGTATAACAGTCTTTAACATGCTGTCACCCAGCAATTGTAAAAAAGACATTTTGCCAAAATATAACTCTTGGCCGCAATCAAAAATGATGATTGGGGCGAAAACTATACCGGTTCATTGTAGGTAAAGCGTTTCCTTTTACAAATCTACTCTTTCGCAAAAATGATGATTACTCTGAAGGGAGTCTAACACATTATGACTGTCGAATAGTACCTAGTTTGTTAGAAATGTAAAAATGAGGAAAGGTAAAGAAAAAGCTACTTACGACCTGTTATGTCCATGAGACGTTGGTGAACCCGATGGAAAAGAAGAGAAAATGAATCAACTGAAATTTACTATCAGTTTAAAGCCGTTGTGAGATACTGTGTACTAATTGACTGAGTGGGAGGGCCGGACGGGAAAGTATTTGGCTCGAGGTCATGACGTAAGGACCGAGCATAGCACAGAGATCCGAGTGCCACGATCGAAAGTCAAATATTTCCCATCCAGCCCGACCTAACTCAGTCATTACGCATTTTATTGTATGACTTTTAAGTGTTGGAAATTTTGATGTTTTTTTCTTAAATACCACGCGATAGAGCGGCACGCGCGGAATAACCACAAAAACTATTCTACAATTAATACTTTTCCTTTCTGTTTTCGAGTTAGAACAGGAAACTCACATTTCATCGGAAAACGTAGCATTTGTTTCCATTTGTACTCTCTGCTGTCACTCATTTTTAGCCACAAAAGCGGACAATGTTTTTCATTTTAATATTTTTTGCCAAGTGCACTAGGGCCGGGCGGCTTTTTCCGGACCGGGAGCCCGTTTGTCGGGGTTCTGGTAACTTAACGGGCCCGTAAAGCTGTTCTGCTTTCCTTCAAGATGGTTTCAAAA